GTTCCATGTACTGTTGTGTACTGTTGTGTCTCTTGTGCACAGCCTGAGTTTTGTCTATGTTTTCTTTGAGTATACTACATTGTATTTTTAGCATTTTTTGTTTGCTTAGTGTTTTTCTTGTTCTTTTGCCTCACTTTTTTTTTACTTTACAAATTCTGTACTACTGTTTTATCATCATTATTATCTTTTCTACTCATCATCTTACAAAAAAAATATTTACTGGGGCTGGCATGATAGTTCAACTGGCTAATCCTTAGTCTTGCAGCACTGGCAATCTCATGTTGGCACCAATTTGTGTCCCAGCTGCTCCACTTCCCATTCTGCTCCCTGCTTGTGGCCTTGGAGGGCAATGAAGGACAGCCCAAAGCTTTGGTACCCTGCTTCCACGTGGGAGAACCGGATGAGGCTCCTGGCTCCTGGCTTTAGATCAATTCAGCTCTGGTTGTTGTGGCCGTTTGGGGAGTGAGCCAGCAGATGGAAAATCTTTCTCCCTGTCTCTCCTCTCTGCCAATCTGCATTTCTAATTTAAAAATTCATCTTAAAAAAAACAGATTTACCACCATGGAGGGAGGGCACAGGGAGGGGTTGGGGGAATCCCAGAACCTATGAAAATGTGTCACATAATGCAATGTAATAATAATGATAATAAAAGATTTATGTATTTGGAAGACAGGTTTGCAGAAAGAGGATGGCATAGTGGGATCTTGTGTTTGCTGGTTCACTGTCCAAATGGCCACAATGGCTAGTTCTGGGCCCCACAGAAACCAGAACCCAGGAGCTCCATTCAGGTCTCCCACATGGGTGACAGGAACAAGCACTTGTGGCATCTCCGACTGCCTTCTCAGACCCATGAACAGGGAGTTGGATAGGAAGTGGAGCAGAGCTGGACCAGCAGTCTGATGGGATTGTTGGGGGTCATAGGGAGTGGCTTAACCAACTGTGCCACAATGCTGACCCTCCTGCTTCCTCATCATTTTCTGTTACAATGAATTTTCTGATACAGCTGCAGGACAGTTGTGGTTAGGGCATTATTTCTGCTGAAGAGATGGACACAAAGACTGACTGGAGTGTATGTTGGGTCCTTCCTCCTTGGTCCACAGAATTGGACATTTACAATGCCACTTACAACTCAGAATCTCATCTAAAAGCTTTCCCAGTGAGCATGTGTCAGGCAAGATGTTTGAAGCTGTCAACTAATGGGAGAACTAACCCTCCATGATTGAGACCTGCTGCCATAGGCATCCCTGTCTGTCACAGCCCCATTGGATGCAGTAGCCTTTGGCAGCTCTTCCAGACATTCTAACATTCAGGTTTCACATGACTCTGAATATCATCAAATGCTAAACTTCTTTTTAATTTTTCAATATGTTTGATATTTTGGGTGAGCTCAAGTAAGGACAGGGAAAAACACAGTTCATTACTTCATCATCTCTAACTCTCCAGTACTCCTTAACTTTATGATAAAATATAAAGGGACTTCAAAAGTTAATTCCCTTTTTCATGAATTTTTTACATCTCTTTGTACCTACCAACCATGTGCACCAAACCAGACCTCTCAGAGGGTTTCTATCCAACAGGCCCCAAGATCACCAAGGGGTGAGGCAAGGGTGAGGCAATGGTGCTTTTCGCTTGCAGAACCATCGGAGACAAACTGGTGAAGGATGTCTGTTTATTTGGAAGAAGTTACAAGCTTATATAGAGTAGGAAAGGGGGCAGGCATAAAGGCAGTCCCACCCAACAATAACATTGTAACTGGTTAGTAGACATGTCTATCTCTCTGGACCCTCCAAGTTATAGGTCACTTTTTGCATGCAGGGCAGGAGGACAAACTCATTACGTGTAGCTGAAAAACAGGATGAGTGTTAACATTTAACTTCTAGAGTTGTTTATCAAGGAAGTCCTAGCACAGCCCATCCAAGCACAGAGAAGAGAGACTGGGGTCCAGTCTACTGCTCTCACTGCATGCCCAGTGAACAGGTCAGGTTGGGGTTTCAGCTGAGACTCCTACCAAGGGTTTCCCTGGGGACACGGTATACCGGTATACTGTGTTTCTACAGCCTCCCACATGGGCTAAGCAGGCAGAGATTCAGGAATGATCTCCCACTCAGGCCTGCTTTAAATAAGAGGAACAAGAGGCCTTACGACCCACTGTGATTGGCTCGGTGCCTTGCAAGTCAGTGAGAATTAAGTCTTGAACCAATTCAACACATTGCCAGCTGTCTTACAAGTACCAGGTAAATAAATGTCCAGTTCTTTGTGCAGGCAAGGGAGCTTTTATTCTTGTGTTGCCTTGAGTGAGATTAAACTCCATTATGGGACTTCACTGATGAGCTATAGTTTAAATACCGACCTTGGTTTTAGCATACATTATAGAAGCAGTAGCGACCGCAACTCAAAAGAAAAAGAAGAGGACGAGATAGCCAACACTCATGGGTCCCAGATTCTGTTTGCTGCCCAAAATTTACATTGTCACCCCACCCCAACATTTTTACAACTGTGCTAACTTAGCATTTCTGTCTCTTTTTGACACATGGAAAAACTGAGGTACAAGTGCCCAAGTAACTTCTCAGGGCCCCCGGCCTTTGAAACCCTTTTGATGGACTTTTGTACCTCCCGGGTTACCATGGTCACTTAAAAAAGACATTTCCCCAGTGACTCTGGGATTCTTTTAAGATAAATCAAAAGAGTCACAAGAAGGGCCCAGGATGTTTTGCTGTCATCTTGTCTGTGGATGATACTGCTACTTTCTGTGTGCTAAGGGGCCACTTCCAACAGCATCGTGATCACACCCAGCACTTAGCTCGGCGTGTGTTCGGCTGCAGCTTGTAGCCATTCATTAGTTCCTATGAGGTAAGTCATTGTTATCTCACTTTAGAAAGCAGGCAGCTGGCGCAGAGACCAGGATCAGCAGTTAGTCTAAGGAGACCGCGATGAGACTGGATTCCCCCTCCCTGAAGACCCTGCTAGAGAAGCTGCAGTGGTCCTCATGCCCTGCTTAGCCTGTGTGGTGCTACAGAAAGGTGCTTTTTCGTATAACCATGTATTTTGCAGGTGCATTTTATGTGCTCCACACCAGGAGAACCAGAGAAACGAAACTCAAAGGAGCTTACACACTGCAAGCATCTTGTTGACAACACATTTCAGACCTTCAAGCTAGAACCACTTCAGGGTTAATCCTATCATTGTCTCTTTAAAAGTCACATCAAGAGGGTCCTGAACCCTGGAGATTCTACCAAGCAGTGAGAAGTAGAAACTAAGAGCTGTTTGTTCTTTTGCCTCTTCTTAGTTTCATCAATAAAAAAGTTGTTTGTGGGATATGTAAATATGTAACTGGGGCTGCCTTTCTGTAGTGCTGGCTTCCCATATGAGTGCCAGCCTCGGTCCCAGCTGCTCCGCTTCCAAACCAGCTCCCTACCAGTGCACCTGGGAAAGCAGCAGATCACACAGGTGCTCGGGTCCTTGTCATCCAATGAGAAAGCGGGATGGAGTTCTAGGCAACTGGCCTCAGCCTGGCCAGCCCAGGCCATCGGGGGAGCAGTCCGCAGATGGAAAAATCTCACTGTATCTTCTTCTCTCTTACACTCTGCCTTTCAAACAAATGAACCAAGCCTTTGAAAAAGTAATTAAAATTCCAACTGCAAGCAATATGGCTAGCTTTACAAAATAGGGAAAGAAGATGTTAAGTAATTACTTCCTCTCCAACCCCCAAATATTGTTTCTGAAAACTGATACTTCAGTAGGGATAAAGCACATTGAAGAATGTTTTATGTCTCTTCTGAAGTTACATTTGATATATAGTATCTTATATGCAGTGATGTTTTTAGAGTAACAAGAGTGCCAGTAGTCAGAGAAAAAGAAAGTGCGTTTGCTGTGTAGGTAGGTGTCTGAGCAGTTTGCTGTTTTTATGCAAAGGCCATGATGTCCAGTGATAACCTTGTGCACAACACCCACATATATATTTGGAGCCAGGTTTTATGAAACAGATCCAGAATCGTGTGACTAAGAAACCCCCATCCTGTGATACGTGTCAGCCTCAGAGAGATGGTACATATTCTGTTTTAAAGACTCAAACAAAACTTTTCACATTCTTTTCTGAGAAAAAAAAAATTACATTTGAAGCCTTTTTTCGCCCAAACACATTCTGAGATAAGAGCTCACAAGTCTTGACATTATTTCATTTTGTTATGTGCGTCTGTCAAGGAACTGAGATACGATACAGCTACTAAAAACTGATGATTGTGGAACAGAGCGACCTGACAGCATTTCATTTCCTTTATGTTCTGATTATACCTTTATCAGAAAACCTGTATCTCTTCGAGTTCAGCTGGAAATTGGCAGAATTCAGCAACTCAAAGCTGTCCTATTATGGGGTGTCATCTCCCATTTTAGAGAAGTTGCTTGGCTGAGTCATTGTTTAAGGCTTTTGCTTCTCTTTTCATTTTTGTGGTCCACTATCCGCAGATCACATTTCTATAGCCCCTGTAACTGCTCTGCCGCACGAATTAAACACCGGCATCTTTCATCCGTGGACGCCAGCATTTCAATGCTTGTCAGTCAGAGTTTATGAAATACAGGGATTACAACCTGATATTAACATCCCAATCTATTGTGCTCCTTTTTTATGGGTGAAAATGAGAAACCCCTGCTCCGATGCTGGATTCTTCAGTCCCTTTGTCATCCTGCTTTTAATTTATCACCGAGTTTGGAGTCAGGAAAACGATTTTGCTTATCAAGTTAGTGCTGTGATGAAGTGTACCCCTGAATCAGAGTGATCAGAACCCAAGTGGATCCACAGGTTGTTTGGTGGTGAGCCCAGCTCCGCTGAGGGCTGTGGCCGGACTTACTGCCCTTCTGACAACTAACAACTTCTAATTGTGCCTTCGTGAATGTTCTCATTGGCTTCATATGAAGAAGTGGCCATAGAAGTGCAGGGTTGTGGGGAGCAGGGCTTTAAAACTCTTTCACATGTTCTTTATAGTTCCTTCTCTTTTTTTGGATAGGTGTTCTTCAAAAGGAATTATCCAGATATCAGTCAAACGGACTCCGTGGTTACCAGCACCTCCAATGGACAGCCCTCTGCCTTAACTATTTTTGAGACGGCACTGTGATTCTTCCAAGATGTCAGATCTGTTCCAAAGGCATTTTCCAATTGTTTTTGCACTGTGTAAACTATAGTGTACATTTTTTTACTAAGCTATAATATGGACATGTTCAAAATGTTAGTTTTTTTGGATCTGCCCCTCAACTTCATCCAGTGATCTCAAGCTTTGACAAAAGGGTTTGTTATTTTTACTTTACTGTTTCAGTTTAATCTGAATCAGAGGTGCAGGCCACCAGAAAATGTTGTCTACCAGGTTTTATGCCTTACCAGACCCCAGAGCCAAATCTCATTTTATAAGGAATAGAACAGAGTTGTCATAGGTTGTTGTTTTTTGTTCCTGCTAGTCCCAAATTGCGTATTGCTATCCAATTATATCAGGGATTCTATTTACTTGAAGACTGCACAAGGCTGCCATTTCATCTTGCCAACTTTATTTGACCTAACTAGGACCCATTGTTTTCCATCAAGGCCTCTGATTAACATAGGACAGATTACTAAGAAGATCACAAGATATACTTTAAGTCACACCTAGAGAGTCTACCTCCACCAGAAAGAGAGAGAGAGATGGCTGAAAATTCTAGAATAGACAGAAAAGAAAACAGCACTCCCTAAAGCTGGGTGCCCTTGTAGGTGAGTTGATGACAAAGGACACCCCAGCACCAGCCAGGTCCGCGTGGCTCACATGGTTCTGGCACACATGAGAACTCAGTTGTGGTTTTAGACTCAGCAGGCCGAAACCTCCCACTGTAATTCCTGAAATACCCAGTGTTATTCTTATTTGGATTTCTGGTTTACAGAAGGGGAGGCCTGTTGAGTCTAAACTGTTTGGTTTAACCTTTGTTGAAATCCTTCCTCCATCCCATGCCTAGGACCTCCTGACGTGGTAAGAGAAACTGAAAATCATCACAAACATTGGCAGTAATTATGCAGTCCATTCTCTGAATGTATCCGTAGGGTTCACGCCTGTGAGCCTGCCCAGATTAGTTTATGTTTACTTGTGACCACTAATAACAGCTTCTGGAGGTCTTTCTGAATCAACAAACCACAGTACTTCCTAGGACTTGTTGTGCGATATTTGAACTACGAGTCTAGTTTTCTTGATGGAGGTGGCCATGGTATGTTAAGTTCACGTTATCAGAGGTTTTACTTTCAGGGTTTAAGTGGACTCTTATGACCTCACAGGATGGCAGAGCCACCCTCAAATTGCATATGTCAGTACAACAGGAGAGAAAAGCATGTTTTGTAAAATGAAACGCTGAAGCGTGCACGCAGAGCAAGCTATCCGAATGCGTCAAGTGGAAGAGCTGTTCAGCTCTGTGTGTATAGAAATGTATGATTAGTGTATATTCCCCATAAACCACACACACCAAGTTGTCTACTAGTAATGATGTTTTGGTATTTCCGGAGAGTGAAATGACAATAGTGATAATAACTTTGTTAAAAAATTGGAAACATCTGCCATGTATATGTGTTTATTTGGTCTCTAGAGGTTATTGGCAGTCATAAAAACATGTTCTTCTTTCATTTCTATTTTAGTGTCATCATAGGATTTTTAATTCCATTTGAAATAAATCACAGTTTTCATCTCTCTTCAGAGAGCTCTATTTTTGTCCTTAGATTACCGACTCGCATCCTGGCTGATACAGCCATGGGGTTTGCTAGGATCAAAAACCTTGAAATCAAAAATCATCTTCCATTATCAACGGATCTTTTTTTGACTAATTAATTCTACCAAATATTGTGAGAAGATCCATGGTTTTCAGATAGCTTGAAACTTTACAGGTCCAGTTGCACTGTTCTAGGCCCCCCGGCTTGAACAACAATGAAACACTTGGTTTTGATTTTTAAGGTGATTTTGTTCAAAACTATCAACAAACGCCTATTGCTGCTGCATTTCAAATGCTGCAGATGGAGTGGGCATTTCACCTAGTGGTTACAATGCCAGGGAAGATGTCCCTAGCCCGTGCTGGAGGTGCCTGGTTCCAGTTTCTGGCTCTGGCTCCTGACTCAAGCTAACACCATAGCAGACCCTGAGAGACACCAATGGTGGCTGGGTTAGGAACCAGGCTTCTGCCACTCACTGGGAGACAGTGCTGCTTTCCCGGCTTTGGCTCCTGGTCTGCCCGGGCTTGTTGTTGGTGAACTTTCTGGAAATAAGCAGTAGATAGGAGTTCTCTCTACACCCCTCCCCTTCCTCTCAAGTAAAAGTTAAATATGTATATTCATGGCCTCTGGGCTGACAGCATCACCTGAGAACTTACTAGAAATGTCAATTGTTGAGCCTTATTTTAGGTATAGTAAATTGGAACCTTTGATGCTGCAAGCCATTCATCTGTGTTTTAACAAGCCCTAGAAGTGATTCTGATACAGGCTAAAGTCTAAGAACCAGTGTCTCAGAACATAAAGAGCTCCGAAAACTCAGTAAGATAATACACAGAGAGCCCAGTTAAGAGAGAGACAGGAGACTTGAATAGGCATTTTAACAAAATGAGGATCAAAGTGATCAGTAACTGCAAAAATGCTCATTCTCATTGCTCACCAGGGAAATGCAAGTTAAAACCACAGTGATGTGGCACTGGGTACATGCTAGTGTGGCTAAAACGAAAAGGATTGAGAGCACCACATAGGCATAGGTAGAGTGGTGGTAACTCATGCATTGCTGTGGGTATAAGAAAGGTGAGTTGGAAAGCAGTTGAGTAGCATTTATTCCCGCTGTACACCTGTGATCTATTGTTTGTTTCTACTCCAAACATGTTCAGGATGTTGTTAAGGAAGACCTTTGAGGTCAGCACTTGGAAAATCCAAAGGAGAAACTCAGTTGGCCAGAAGGAGCTGGAATACAGCCTTGACCCTATGGGGAATTGGCATCAGCATGGCCCACAGTGGTGGTCCTGCCACGTACCAAAGGCCAGGCCTGTGTCACTCCTCCTTGAGCAGCCATTGCATGTGGTGGCACCTCAGCAGCTGGGACCTTGCAGGAGGATCTGCACCACATACCTCCATGTCCATTGCACTGTGTCCTGCAGTCCCAGAGGCAGGCTGATGCAGTGTCACTGGAAGAAGGCCCTTGGCATTTGAATCCAGAGGACGAATGACATGCTTATCCCCAGTAACCAACCACAAAGTGGGGAGATTCTGACCGGCTTTGTCCTCTAAGGTCGGCACAGGTTTTGTGCCTTCCCGGAAGTCCTCCTAGGACCAGTGTTCATACTGGGTAACTCTTTCACCCTAAGGGACCCTCTTGTACTTCTGTGATGTCCTGAGTACCCATTAGCTGTTGGACTAGGTCGTAGAATCTGCTTGGAAGAGCCCAGCACTAGGTTTTGTGTTTTGCTGCAGGATCTTGAAACACTGCACTTTTAAACACAGACCCTCTCCCCCTTTGCAGTCTGCACTGGAGCGTCCCCCTTGTGCAGCCTGGCCTGGTGTAAGTATTTGCCAGTCTCCTCACTGAAATACGAGCTTCTGAGCACATGAACCATAGTTGGTGCCACTTTTGATCTGGATCTCTTAGCAGAGTCTCAGAGGGAATGCTCTGTGAATGAGTGCTGAACTGGTCATTCTGAATTTTAAGGACTAGCCTGGGACCGGGTCAGATTTTACAGTCCGACACACAGATGGGGTTGGCAGTTCTGTCACCACCACTCATAACAGTGGAGAGGTGACCAAGGAACTTACCATCCAAAGTGGGACACTGCTGAGAATGAAGGAAAGCAATAACCAGCCAAGATTCTGGAATAATCAGCTGGGACTGTCTTGACGAGCTGATGTCCGGTCACCGTGTAGTCACAGAGACTTAGTAACACGCTTGGGTTGGTGACTGCCACCTGACCTCAGTGGCTTCATCTGTAAACTGGATCTCATGCCTGATCCTGCAGGGTTGTTTTTTTTCAGGAGGACTGTCTTTAAGTTCAAGAACATCCAAGAAAGGGAAGGATAGAACCCAAAGGTAAAGTCCTTGACCTTGAGAGGGGAAAAAGTCCCCTCTTCAACCAGTAGAGGAAAGCGTGATGAGGATGGGGATGGCAGGTTTATGAAACACCACAGGTGCGTTGGAGAAGGCCCTGGTCAGATGACCTAAACTGGCTTTCAAAATTGTTTGAGTGAGGTAAACACATGAAGAGGAGCCGCAGCTCTGGAATCAGCATTTCTGGGCTCAAAACACTGGCTCTTCATTCCATGACTGCCTTGACTTTGAATCCCAAGTTCTGCTTCCTGCTAATGGTGGACCTTGGAAAGTAGTAATGCAGTGATGGGGACAGATGTGTTTTCACAGAGGACAGCTGCCAAGATGAAATATGCAATACCTCCCAGCAGTGCCACTGCAGAGTGTCATTGTGGGCTAGTGCCAGTGGGCAGGCTGTTTGTAGCCAGTCCACAGCAAGTGCAGGAATTTCAAGAAAGGCCATGACTATGACATCCAGTCATGATTGGTGGGTAGCCACTTGTTGAACAGGCTACAGACCACATTAAGTGTTGGGCTTGAATGGGAAGATGTGTGTACCATAAGCTACACACTAGCAGAGCTATGTTGTAGTTTGCAGTGAATTGAAAATTTTAAATACATCGGTTCTTAGCCTCAGAGACTGGAGAAGCATGGCTTTAGAACAAGGTGCAGTGTGTGGTTATCTCTCTGTACTGAACTTCTTAGGAATCAGGATAAAATCGTCAGTGATTTTTATGTTTAAGACTTCACAGTCTTTGAAAATGTAGTATGGCATGCTAGCAATATTTTCCCAAATAATTAAAAAGGCAAAATGCTGCTCAGTGTTAGAGATTAAAGCTATTTTTAAAACAGGATACGACCGTGGTGCAGTATTTATCAACAGCCTGATCTGAAGGTCAAAGAAGGAACACATTAGAGCACTCTGAAAAGTAGGGAACAGGGTTTGAGTTGACTGTTGGGTCTTTAAAAATCAAGAATTAGGATTAACTGAGGGTTTTTTTTTTCTGTTTTGCTCTAATGTCCTGAGGAAACAACCTTATTCTTGTCAAAACCAAAATGATAATTGGGTTGAAAGCTGAGAGAAATGTATTTTGCTCAACAATGATGCTAAAAAAAAATGACATTTATAAAGGGTATAAAATGTGTTAACCATGTCGTAACTTTCTCTATAGTTCTGGCCCACCTAACACGCCTTAGGGGTCCACCTCGGGATTACATGAATTTTCAAGAAGAACCAAAATCAGGACAGATTTGAACTAAGATTATATAACAGCTTACGTTGTAAAGTTCTAAGGTCATCCTTTCAGTCACCATCCAAGTAAAATGACCCAACTCACCATTGTTCGTTGCAGTAGGCGAAAGCCTTGAATGGTCCAAAAATTAGACTCCATTTGGGAGAGCGTTATGTGGAAAACATTCTTAAAGTTGATGTTTGCAGACTGCTTTGGCCAATGAAAATGAGTATGAGGCAGTTTATATCACATTAGGAACTTCTGTGGGTAGTTCAGGAACTCCATGTTACAACAGTTAAATGGAATCTGACTCCACATTGACTCTGGTAAAAAGATAGGTAGGTAAATAGATAAATGCATACATACATATGTAGATAAGTAAGTAGGCAGACAGGTAGATACAGATGGAAGGCAAAATGCAGCAACATGCTGACAGATAAATGTGGAAAGGTTCACAGGCAGGGTGGGCTGACACATCATAAGCAATGCAGACAACACTGCTCAGCCTGGGGTACATGTCTGGGAGGGAGCACTGCATGCGTGAATGGACACAGTCCTCCCGCACTGCTGGGAGTAGAGTGGTGCCTCGCAGTGAACAGCACTCGAGCAAGTGACCAGAATTCACACTGTTTCTCGATGTCAGGCAGTGACAAGGAGACTTCATCACTGTGACATCTCTGCTCCTTGTATACAAAATCAGCATAGCCTGGGTCGTATCCACACCAGTCTGACAGAGCAAAATTGAAGGCCTGTACTTTTAAATGTCAATGAACATTCAAGAGCAAGGAACTGTTTCACACTAAGTAGAAACTTGAAAGATAAGACAAACACAGTGCGTGAGAGATGAGGACAGTCCTGGACAACTGATGAAGTTTGAGTAAGACCAGTGTGGCTAAGTTACATTTATGTTAAATTTCCTGAATTTTCTCAGCATACCAATTAAATACAGGAATATTATTATTAGGAAATTCACATTTCCGCGTTCAGGGCATAACGACTATGAAATCTACAACTTCCAGATGGCTTAACATTTTAATCATGTAAGTACACACACAGTGCACATACATTATATGTGCAGGTCCTGTACACATCTGACATATAACACATGATTCTGAATCCGAAAACTGAATTGATAGAGAGGAAGCAGCTGCTTCAAAAAGGGTTGAAGTGAATGAACCTAAATAAAGGGAACACAGGAGTTTATTGTGTTACCAATGCAACTTTCCTGTAGACTTTTTTTTTTCCAAATGGGAAACAACACTAAAAATTTCTGCACTCAATCAGTGAAGAATCCACAGCTCAGTAAGCAAGAGTTGACAGTATGTGGTCTATGAAAAGCACCAGGCAACTTTTAATATGAGTTTGGTCCCTACCACTCCCTCCGCGCTGGAGCACTCAAATCTAGCTGGAGGCAAA